CATCTGCTTGTTCACTCCCCAAATGCCCACAGCAGTAGAAGCTAGTCAAGACAGAAGACAATAGCTGCAAATTCAATCCAGGTCTTCCAGGTGAGTGGCATGAACCCATCTATTTGAGACAGTCCCCTGCTGCTTACCAGGGCACACATTAGCAAAAAGCTGCAATCAGGAGTGGAGCCAGCACTCGAACCCACGCACTCTGATATGGGAGGCGGGTGTTCTGAGTCGCTTCCTAACCATGTGCCAAATGCCTGCCTGCCCTTATCACTCAACTTTGTAAAGATAACCAATTACATCAAACTTCTAAAGTATTATCAAAAGATTTTCATACGAATTCTTTATTATTCTATCTGCACATGATGACCTGCTTTCAGGTGATGCAACACAGAGTAAGTTCAAGGGCAGGTAAGTGAAGAGAAAGCCCAGAGGCCTCAACCCAGCTCCTCAAAGGCAGAATACACCGCACAGCCACACTCACACACACGGGGCTTTAGGAGCCCGCTGATTATTACCTTTCTTTTTTCACCTGTGCTTCAGGCCAGCTCACCAGTGGCCCTCGCCCAGAGCCCGAAGCTGAGCTTGCTCCTCCAGAGTGGAATCCTGGGTCCCTCTCCCCTTCCTTGCAGGCTGGGCCCTCTGAGGGCTCTCATTATCCTCCTTGGCCCTGCCTGGCAGCAGATCACGACAGCCTCCCCTCTAAGGCTGCTCTTTAATTACGCTTTAATGTGAATTGATCTTTGCATTAATGAGGCTGTAAAGAAGATTGATGTGGCCTGTCTTTCCCAGCGGTCTGCAAGGTAGCATGCGCGTTAAGTACTCCCATTGATTTCCCTTCACCAGCAGCGCACAGAGGCCCCGCAGCCTCCACCCAGGCCCCCTCCACCCCCGCCTCCCCCCTGGTGGGGTCACAGACAGGAAGCCGAAGTGCTTTCCTTCCAAGTTTTATCTTCTCGAAGTTATAATACATGAAGAAATGTTAACGGTCCCATTGCTTTTATTTAATCATTTTTTTGGCAACTAAAGGGGGCAGCAAAACGGAGACGGTTAAAGCCACTGCTGGTATTTTTATTGAAATTATTCATATTCTAGTCCTCTAGATGCATTTGTCAAGGAGAGAGAAAAATACTTTACCAAGCAAAGCTAGCTTTCAGGGAAGCAGTACGGGAAGTGACTGTAAGGGGTATGGAGCTTGTTTGGGGCAACAAAAATATCCCACAATTAGCACTGAGCATTGCACACGGAGAATGCACTGACAAGGGCTGAATGACACACTTCAAAATGGTGACTGTCTGTTATCTCTAAAATTATTTTAAAAACATATTTTTCAAGATTAGGAGTAAAAGGTATTTGCATGTGCTTGCAAATACAACATAAACCTAAGGAATTTTAATAGCAGCATTACAAAGTCACAAGTAACCGTGCAGCTAATTTGTGCTCCGATCTCCCACGTGATCATGGACAGCGGTGAGGGGACAGCCAGCGACTAAGCGTGGCCATGGCAGGAAGCTTCAACCGGACCAGCAAATGCCGAAGGAGGTAGGTGGGCCAGCCAGGCTGGACTACAGCCTGTGTGGGGAGAGGGAGAAAAAGCCACCTGCACAGCAAGCTCTCTTACTCCTAGGCTGAAAACATTCAACCGTTTCCACTACAACCCATCTTCTCAACGATACAAGCACAGTCACCACAGGCAAAGCGGAAATTTTTCTTCAACAGAAACATCACTTGGGCATCAGACAAAATTACTGTTGCCGTGGGAATCGTAACTTGAGTTTCCTGGACTTCGAACTTCTGAAAAAAACAAAAACAAAAAACTCAAACGTAAAAAAAATCGACTGGCAGAGTCTGCCCTCATTTAACAAAAAAGTCTGTTTCTTTTTCTGAGAACTACTTTACGGAATTAGCTCCCTCACTCCAACCCAATCCTATTAAAAGCTTTCCCTGAGTTTTATGCTTTCTGTTATTAAGGATAAATGGCTCTGGTATTATCCTCAGAGTGCGATGCAAATAAACCTGTTCTTGGACAAATACTTCAGCTGAACTACATTCCCTTAATTAGAAAGTATTAACCAATTGACATTCTGGTTGACTGCAGTTCCCAAAATTCTAGAACTCTCTTTGGAAGCCAGGTGCAAAATAAAACCCTTTCCCACGAGGTCCTCCCAACTGTGACAGCCGGCACAGCCGGGAACGCGGGTCTGAGACATCACAGAGCTCTTGTGTGAGCGAGTGCCCGGCAGAGGAGCAATGAACCCCCGAGGCAAAGTCCACAATTACAGGTGTCTGAGCGCAACGGCACCAACGCTGCTTCTGTGCAGAGAGTGACAGTGGTTTCGGGTCACTGGGTCTTTGGGGGCATTTACTGCCTCTCCTCTCCGCTTCCGGTTGTGAATGCTGTGAGCGTCTTTCACCATCTCCTCTGACAAATGAGGAAACAGCAAGTTCTCTTGGGTTACAACTGCACTGACCGCTTCTCACATTCGTGTTCCTGTGACAATCCTCTGCTTCCAACAGAAGGGGAGCAGGAGCTCGGGGACTAAGGACACAGACTCTCGACTGTTAACTGCCACATTCCCAGGCACCGTGCTGGGGTTTCCACGTCACCTTGGGAAGACCCCTAGGCCACAACTGTGTGGCCACCAAGGGTGCCGACTACTGGCAGAGCACTGGACACCTTTGAGTTCTGCAGTTCTGAAAAGCAAGACACGAGAGCAAAGCCTGAAGGCCTGGAACCTCCACGTGGGTGGAGATGCTAGGTCCTCTGCCTTTGCGGGTCCGGATGGGACGGCTGTCAGGTGATGCTCCGCTGCTTCCTACGCTGGAATTACTTCTCTGTCCTTTGCATGCCCTCTTGGAAAATACCAGAAGGTATGAAGGAAGATAAAAAGTCATCTATAATCCCGCTCCCAGACATCCCACTGCTCAACTCCCTTTTGAGGCACGAAACCCCGGCATCTGGTCTAGGACAGAGGAACAGGCGCAGCTCAGAGCAAACGAGGATAAAGACCTTTCACTGTGCTTTCAGAGAAATCACTGACCAAGTCAGAGGGAGACCAGCCTCAGGCGAAAGAGGTGGCTGCCAACGCTAACCTACATTTTCCAAACCGATTCAAAACAGGGAGGGAGGCTTTCTCTCTCTGTCTCTTGCTTTACATATTTCAATGCTGTCTAATGGAATAGCAGGAACAAGGCCAAACAGCCCCACTGTTCCTGGCACTGAAGCCAAGGAACAGAAATGTATTTTTAGACAGCAGAGCAAGGTGCAAGTCAAGGTGCCACAGGCCCACGGGACAAGCCAGGAGCCCCACTTGTCTCTGCCAGAGGCTGGTTCAGAGTCCCCTACACGTGGGTGGGTGAAGGAGGGACACGCGGGCATTTCTGTCCACTTGTACTTCTACCTCTCTTCGTTCCACCCCTCGCAAGACCCTCACGGAGCCTCGGTTTCTTGTCTGGTCCTGGCTCCCTCACCAGTGGAGGCACAAGAGGATGTAAACCAGCACTTCTCAAACTTCCCCCACTGGGCCACTGGCCAGGACCCCTGGTGAAGGCTGGGATGTTGCACTTGTGACATAGTCAGAGCAGAAACGACACAGCTACTCCATGAGCTGTGTTTCAGGCAACAAGGAGTTACAAGCGTCTTCAAGTGCTTTGCGTTATGAACACACGAGGGATTACCCCACCCCTAATTAGCCTCACGTAAGGGCAACTCATTTAATTTAGCCAGCAATTAAACACCTCCTGGATGCCACGCACAGAGACTAACTGGGTGTAAAAAGAAGGCTAGACCTCTGCCTATCGATCAAAGGAACAAAAGCCCACAGACACCCAGGCAGAAGCACTCGTCACCACTGATCAAACACCTACATATGAGGTGCAAGGCCAGGACCTTCGTATATGCTCCCCTCCCCCTCAGTCTCACTCTTCCCACACATAAAATGGACCAAGGACATATCTGATAAATGAGGAAAATGAAGATCTGAGAGATTAAGTCAGCCCAGGACACACCTGCTGAGCCCCATTTCTGACCCTGTGGCTTTCCTGCAGCTCCAGCACCCCTTGAAGAGGGTTAAGCTCGGGCCGTGTTTCATAAGGACATAGCACCTTCTCAACACAAGGCCCGTGGCCAGTAAAAACCTGAGCCCCGCAGGCTACACCTGCGATCTTAGTAATGGCACCTTCCTGCCAAAGCCCTCTGCTCAGCTGAGCCTGCTGTTGAGAAAAGATACATTCAGGTGAGCAAATGACTTACAAAACCAGCAAAATCAAAATACAGTAAATCTATGCAGCGCTGGAGTGGAAACAGGAAATTCAGTGTGAAGAGGGAGGCGCTCTGTTGGGGAAGCTGCCAATAAAATCTGCTTGAGAAACTGTTGGACTCACGGCTGGTGTATCTGCAAAGACCTCTGGGTGAGTTTAAAACATGCCGACACCTCCACCTGGCTGCTGAAGAAACAGGGGTCCGGCCAGGTGCTTAATTCTCTGGCACAGGCTCTTTCAAGCTTGACAACCTCCCATATGAAAAATGTGACTCAGTTTACTTTAATGGCTTAAAAAAAAAAAAAAAGAGTGCCACCCCCAGACCTCTGAAATCAACATAAAAATAAGGAATGAGTTGTCACAGTTTTTTTCTTTTTAAAGCCATAAAAGTATACAGAGTCACATTCCCAAACTCACCAACATAGGCTTTCCAACTTTTAATTCACAGAGCTTCCTTTAACTCTCATTTAGTCACCCAAGTTGCAGCTGAACCGCTGGGAGCAAGGAACACAGAGCCCCGAACCTCTAGGCTTTCAACAGGATCAGTTTTCCCACCAAATCAGAGAGGAGGCAACACTTGGAATTTTTTAGTTCTGCAAACCCCGCAACAGCAAGCAAGGTATTGGTCATGATCACAGGAACTTCATGACGGACAGCTGTCTGTCACCAGCGAGGTTCTCCTGCCACCAGAGGCCAGCACGGCAACACCACACAGCCCAGGGTCCCCCCACCAGGGCACCACTTACAGAAACAGAGAGACGACATGTGACGAAGCAGCTCCCAGGGATGGTATGGCGGTCAACTCATTATTGTTGAGGTACCTGGAACGACAAGGAGGAATTAACCACTTCAAGCATTTAAATTAGTAGTTTTTTTTTTTTAATTATTTTTTTTTTTTTTTGACAGGCAGAGTGGACAGTGAGAGAGAGAGACAGAGAGAAAGGTCTTCCTTTTGCCGTTGGTTCACCCTCCAATGGCCGGCGCGCTGCGGCCGGCGCACCGCGCTGATCCGATGGCAGGAGCCAGGTACTTCTCCTGGTCTCCCATGCAGGTGCAGGGCCCAAGCACCTGGGCCATCCTCCACTGCCCTCCCTGGCCACAGCAGAGAGCTGGCCTGGAAGAGGGGCAAGCGGGACAGAATCCGGCACCCCGACCGGGACTAGAACCCGGTGTGCCGGTGCTGCTAGGCGGAGGATTAGCCTAGTGAGCCGCGGCGCCGGCCTAAATTAGTAGTTTCAAATCATACACCTATGAGGAAAATCAGAAAACACTACTGAGCTAGCCATACTAAGAACATCTTCTAATCACACACACACACACACTTTAACAAAATTGAGTGCTCAAAGGGAGAGAGGAGGCACAGGAAGGCAAGAGCTAACCAAGATTCCCACTCACGGTGAAAAGTCTCCTATCTCGCATGGAGCTCACAACTCAGAGCTCACACACACACACACAGGGAACGGGCCAAGATGTAGGCTCGGGACGAAAGCACCCCGAGACCATCAACACGAGTGTGCCAGGCTGGCACGAGTCTGGAAAGGCCTTGGGGAGTGCAGAGCACCCCCTCCTGGTTGTTGCCTACACATCCGAGGCCTGGTGTTCTGCCTGTGCCAAAGACCAGCATGTGCAGAACCACAGCCCCAGGGCTTGGGACACACGGGGCCTATTATTTCAATGCCTCATCTGTGACATAAGAAGGAAACTGGACTCGCATCCAGCTGAGATTTCCAATTTCTCTGGACTTTGATGAAGCCCGGGATGGGGGCGGGGAGGAACCCTGAAAACATACATATATACTCGTTTTGCACACATTTTAAAAACGCTAAGCAGAGAGACTTCCTCTCCAAGCTCCCTTCCTGCCTGCATATTCTAAATCTGCCTTCCCATCGTCAGTATCTCTCAAAAGAAGGAGCAGCACAGCTCGCCTGGTCTGCCCCCGGAGGCTCGGCAAGCTGGCCTCCTTACATGGACATGTTCTTCCAAATCTGGAAAGAATATCCAAACTCAGACTTGCCAAGTGAGCCCAAAAAGCCTCCAGGAAGCCAGGGCCCAGTGCTCAGGCCTGCTGCCGGGTGACACGCTGGAAAGAAACCGTATTTCTGAGGGAGAGTCGAGGGCGTAGAACTGCGTCCTCTTGTTCTCCATTTTTAAGGGAGTTATTACATGTCATAGAGCAGCTTGTTACCGGCTGAAGACAAAATCCACTGAAATGGCAGCTGTATTCAGACAAACACACAGCGAGCATTTGCTTAAACAGAATAATCTGGTTGTCCGCCATCTCTTATAGAACTGAATAGGAAAAGAAAAAAAAAATGAGAAAAGGCCTCGAATTATCCCATTTGCTGTCTTCAATGCCAAAGCCAGTTAGGGATGGAGCTTGGCAATTACTGGGCCGTGGGACACAGACTGCCTGTTTCAACAGCGGCATGGCTGGAGCATCTGGCAGAGAGAAAGCAGATCCGTATCATGTGGCAAATCCTTTCTCCACTTAAAGGGCCCTTGTTTGTGTGTTGAAATAGACAATTAATTACTTTAACAGTCTCTTATCTGACTGGCCCCTAAATCAGATTGTTTCTGCTTCACCTTTTATCTCATCCAGCCCCGCTGTGATCTGTTTCCCAGCTAGGGGATACTTAAAACTGCACCAGTCGTAATCTCGACTAATAAATTTCCATAGTACCTATCAAGGCAGCTAATTAGTAGAAAAGGCCCTCGGGTTTATCTGAGCAGAAAACACGAGGGTCAGGGAGCGGCTGCCCATTCGTCAGCCTGCTAAGATACCTCGATTTGAGATTTATTCTCAAATACAGAGGACAGTAGCGGTAACAACAGCAGGAGAAAGCTTTTTGAGGGTCTACTACATGCAAGGTGCAACACTAAAGAGTTTTTCTGGTGTGGTAACTTGTCTTTAGGCTCCTGGAAGTAGGTCCCAGGCACAATTCCAGGGACCTAGAGGATCTAGCTTTAAAGTCTTCGTTCTTAATCCATTATTCTCCTCTATTTCTGAACAACCACAGCAAAAACTAAACAACAACAAAAAAAAACAAAAACCCCACATACATTATTTAATTTCATCACTACAACCCTGAAGGAGGTAGTAGGTACAATTACTATTCCCTACATGACACTAAGTCAGTTTAAGTAACAAATCTAGGGTCACACAACTGGGGCGGGGGGCAGTCAAGAGAAAAACAAGGGCGGGAGTCATGTTACAGCAGGTTAAGCCACTTGGGACACGCATATCCCATACTGAAGTGCTGGATTGAGTGTCAGGTACTCCACACCTTTTTTTTTTTTTTTTTTTGGACAGGTAGAGTGGACAGTGAGAGAGAGAGAGACAGAGAGAAAGGTCTTCCTTTTTTTTTTTTGCCGTTGGTTCACCCTCCAATGGCCGCCGCATCACGCTGATCCGAAGCCAGGAGCCAGGTGCTTCTCCTGGTCTCCCATGCAGGTGCAGGGCCCAAGCACTTGGGCCATCCTCCACTGCCTTCCTGGGGCACAGCAGAGAGCTGGCCTGGAAGAGGAGCAACTAGGACAGAATCCGGCACCCTGAGCAGGACTAGAACCCGGTGTGTCGGCGCCACAAGGTGGAGGATTAGCCTATTGAGCCACGGCGCCGGCTTACTCCACACTTTCAATCCTGCTAATGTGCCTGGGAGACAGAAGATCATGGCCCAAGTGCTGGGGTCCGAGCCACCAACATGGGAGACCCTGTTAGAGTTCCTGGCTCTTAGCTTTGGCCTGGCCCCACCCGTTTTTGCAAGCATTTCGGAAGTGAACCAGTGGATATAAGAGATCTCTCCCTCTTCCTCTCAAACCCCTCTGTCTCTCTCTCGCGCTCTGTCACTCTGCCTTTCAAATAAGTCTTTGAAAAAACATATAGAGAACAAAGCACAACTGCCAATCTGAGAGCAGCAGTAAGTGGCAGGACCAGCAAACACAGGACAAGCCGGAAAGCTCTTAAGCCCTTAGGTAACGTCAGTTGTTTTTCCGCCTGCGTGTAATCTGACTTGCTTTTCAAGCTGGAACGAGGAGGATGGACATTTTCTGCAACGGGAACTGTGGCTGATGAGCGTGGGCTCCGGTCAGCCCTCACTGCCCACAGGACAAACTGCCCCACCCACTGTCACAGAAATGAACAAGGGAAGGAGGCGCAACACCACCATTTCAGACCTGGACAGACCTGCTGGAGGGCCAGTGCACCAGGGCTGAAGATTAACGAGGCACTGTGTGTCCCGATGGACATCTTGTGGGCCACAGGCGCGGGGAGAAATAGCTGGCTCTCATCTCAACAGGGCTGCCTGCTTTATGAAGAGGACAGTGGGAGCCCAAAGGGCAGGAATTATGCAGCAAGCTCGCTTCTAGATCATTCCTGCTCGAAAAAGAACTGCTGGTTCTAACGCTAGCTCGTCTGCCAGCTCCACCTCCACTGGCTTCCTCTTTGTTCTCTCCATCCCCTGTTGAAACGAGAGCACAATCTTCAGAAGGCAACAGAGGCCAAACTCGCTCTGAGAAGGGAAGCGCTTCTTGCCAGACTGAAATAGAGACCGGTCAAAAATAGCACAGCCAGAGAGATGTGAGGGGGGAAGCACTCGGGAAGCTCAGCGGAGTCTCCACGCAGAAGGAAACCTCAGGAATAGGGGTTGTGTCTGATGAAAGCTGCTGGGCTCCTCGCACTGGGCGCCCCTCGCCCTTCCTCCATCCCCCTCCCAAAGTCCCCCAAGGCCCTAAACATCGGTCTAAATGCCTGGCCTTTATCACCGAACCTTTTTCTGATGATTCAGGACCAAGAAGTGCCTCCGATGCATCAGACCATGAATCACCGCCCAGCCCCGGAGCAGGAGGAGGTCTACCTCAGGTCAGCGGGCTGCGTAGACTGCCTGACCGCAGGGCAGAACCTGGAGGCTGGACCTTTTCCAGGCAATCCACAAGGTCAGCGCGGACTTCCTGATCCCTCAGCTTTCCTCCAAAGCCTCCACTCACTTGGCTTGCTTAAAAATCCGGCTACATTTTGCAAGATGTGAATGTTTTAAAAGGACATTTCACAGTATAGAACTACTATCTTAACCAAATTTAGCTTCCACAAACAATGTAAAGCCAGCACCAGGAATAATTTGGGGTTTCGGCACTTTCTCTTAACCTGTTTACTGAAGAACTGAAACAAATCCACAGTGAAATTCTCAAACCATTTCAAACAAGAACACGAGGAGTACTCGGTGGAAAAACAGAGCTTTCTTGCTTGTCAGTCCTCTGGATCACCTCCAGCTGGGAGCTGCTGCTGCCGGCTACAAGAGACGTACACACGTCTTTTTTTCCTAATAAATGCTTGTGTAGTATACAGTCTGTTACGTACTGCTCTTTTCCTCTTGGTAATACATCCCGGAGAGCACCATAATTCTTTTAACTGGCCACACAGTCCACCGTGTGATCAAACCTTTTTACTCATTAATTTATTTGGCCAACCTGCTGTTGGTAGACTCAGTGGCTGCTTCCAAATACAGAGCTGCAATGAACAAATTTGGGCAGGGGGTTATAATTCAGCTCCCTTAAAGGGAAAACGTGGAAACAGGTGTTTGGCCGGGCAGTTAAGATGCCTGTACCCTACATCCCAGCGTCTGCATCTTGGCCTCCAGCCAGTGACTCCAGCTTAGGATGAACGCAGAACCTGGGGAAACAATCGTGACAGCTCCAATAACTGGGTTTCTGCCACCCGCACAGGAGACATGGATTGAGTCCCCAGCTCTGGACTCCAGTGCCAGCCCAGCCCTGGCCTATGGATAGGAGCACTCTCATGTTCTCACTCTTTCTCTGGCTCTCAAAC